CATACAGCTCAATTTCAGCTTTAGAAACCCGATTATTTGGCCGCGTAAACCTTCAGACAGATTTAAAAAGGCTTTATTCAGTGTGTGACAGCTTCATGCACATTGATGTTGCTGCTGAATCCCCAGGCGCACACATACATTCAGCCTGTGCTGATACTCCAAACCAAAGAGAGTGACTGGTATCTGTGTCTGCATCTGTTTCTGAGTACATCTCAGTGTGTCAGAGTGTGTGTTTGTGTGTGTGCTCCACAGTGTCTGTGCTGTGACTTCAGTGCTGTTTTCTCTCACGGTCATAGACTCCATGTGCGAGTCTTATGTCAGGTTATAATCCTGTCAGGCTCGGGAACCTGAAGTGATGTGAACAAGCCAGAGAGGACTGAATGACAGGCCTTTTCTCTCTCTGGAGTAACCATGGTAACAGGCCTGGCTCTGTTGCCACGGTGGCAGGTTGGAAACTGGCTGCCTCTGTTAAAACAGCAGAGGAAAAAGAGCATGCGGTCTTTAAAAAGACAGAAGAAGAAGTGTTTCTCAAAGAAAACTAAATACTGATTCTTCCACTTAGGATGTGACTGTCCTGACTAATTTTATGACTCAATATTTATTTTAAATTGTATATAAAAATAAAGAATAAATATATTTCTCCTCTCATCTAAGAAGATTCAATAGTTCTCAGAGGCTACTGGGATGTTTAGGTATTTAAAGGAACAGTTTGGGATTTTTCAAGTTAGTGTAAAAAGAATACTGATGTATTGCTGTGTATGTAAGAATAGGTCTTAGTCGTTGACATTTCTCCTGCTCTCTACACTGACCTTGAATGTTTCCATCCAGAATCTGACTATGTTGCAAAAACAGGGACAAACTACACAACTTTTGTTCTCAAAAAACTCAAATGCAGCTTCAGCCGCCCCACTAAGCCTATTCGAGTCAGTATCTTTTAAAGGAATCCTTCCAGGTTACGTCTTTACTGCTCCTCTTGTCTGTTCTACGACTTTTCACATCTTCTACATTGTCAAGTCTTTCGAACAAATTCTACAACTATTAAAATGCCTCCAAGAGGGAAAAGAGCTTAAAACAAATTCTCTAATGAAATGTCTTTGCAGCTGAATTAAATATGAAAGTAAATATTGAATTCTTCTGAATACAGAGTAAGAAAATAACCATTTTAATCAATGACCAATGATTTTAACCAGTGAACTAAAAGAAAGCTTCCAAGGCTTTGTGAAACAT